TTTTTTTTTTATCCATTCATCTATTGAAGGGCATCTGGGTTGATTCCACAGTCTAGCAATTGTGAATTGTGCTGCTATGAACATCTATGTGGCAGTATCCTTGTAGTGCGCTCTTTTAAGGTCTTCAGGGAATTTCTGTTTAAGATTAGCTCCCTTCATTACCAATTAATCTAATTCATTGTTCAATGACTCTTTCACATTCATAATTTTAGATCCACATGCATACATACCTCAATGTTTTCGGGCCCTGTGTTTTCCCTTGTCTCGGGTAGAAAAGAGCCTTTGATGAACATTGGAGAAGGTTCTACAGTGTTCATGCTTCCACTTCTTTTGTTGTCGTCTTTTTGCATGATGTCAGTTGAGAAGAATGGATGTACAGGGGGAATGTTACCTTCAAATCCTATATGGTAGTTAGGATTTTCATTTTTCATTAATCTTTGTGGATTAATTTTATCCAAACTAGTGGATGAGGGAGTTGAAATATTGCATTTGGAATCCTCAACACCATGGTGTTTTCCTATGGAGTTTTCCCCGGAGCTGTCTTTATTCATGATTTGAGGTTTTGGTAGCACAGAAGCCCTAAAACCAATAGCTGATGTTTTCCCAACTTGATGCCAGGAGAATTCAGGAATTTCAGAAGTGAATTCATTCAAGCATATTTGGTGTGTTCTATCCAATGAATACCCTTTTGTTTCCTGGTTTGGTGCATTGGACACAAAAAAGGTGTTTTCTTCAATTTCACTCTGATAGAATGGAATTTTATTACTGATCTCATCTACTAGGTGATCAAAACCCAGACAGACTTGCCTAGAAGGCATGGGTTGGGTTACAAGGTGAAATTCTTGCTGTTCAGACTGCTCTTCATCTGATTCATTAGGCTTTGGATCTGTTTGCCAACTATATGCCATTCTTTATGTAACAGAAAATTGACTTGACTCCGAATATCTCTTTAATGATATTATAAAATAAGGTAGAAATCTTCCTAGAAAAAATCATAAAAGGAAATAAAAAACCATTGTTAGTTACCAATAAAGGATTTTACAAGAAATAAATATAATGAATAAATATATAGAAGTGTTTTGTAGTTTTTTCTTGGCAAGAGGAATCATTTCTTGAGGACTACAAAATTGTATCAGGGCTCCGAGGATTATGAATTTGAGAAAGAATATTGATTTTGGATGGACTCATACAACTCCTATGATAGAAAAATAAGTCCATCTCAATTATGATTAGAGTTTCATGACTCTATCCAAAGTCAGTTTCCCTCTTTTGACTCATTTTTTCCACCAAAATAAGTATTTCCTTCTGTACGCAATCATCTATAAGCGTGTTAACCTGCTCCCCTCACCCCTTTTATTAACTAAAGGCTTTTCTTAATTAGCACCTACCCTATCCCTGGACACAAACTTAACTCTTTTCTCCCCTTTATAACGGAATATCTTAAAATGGTTGGCTAGGCTCTTTGCTCCCTAAAGCTCTTTAAAAACTTGCAAACTCTTTTATTCATATCTCTGAAGCTACTTCCATTAAGTTCATCAATGAGTGTCCTAGCATTAAATTCAAGGGTTATTGTGTCTCTTTTTAACTTAGTTCCTCAGCAACATTTGATACCACTCACCATTACTTCTTGCTTTAAAATGTCTTGCTTTCTTACTTCAATTCTCTATGACTCTGTACCCAGTTTCTCCTAGTTTGCTCTTTCTTGAACATGCTGTGCCTGTTTAAGTATTTCCACCTGAGTCTTTTCTGAGCCTCTTCTCCCCTCAAGTACTCTCTGATTGCAAGTTATTTCTTACCTTTTGTGGCTTAAATGATTTTCTCTTTGTCAGTAACTCCAGTCTAGACCACTCTTTTTTTAGAGAGAGAGAGAGAGAGAGAGAGATTGAGAGAGAGGGAATTTTAATATTTATTTTTTAGTTTTCGGTGGACACATCATCTTTGTATGTAGTACTGAGGATAGAACCAGGCCGCACGCATGCCAGGCGAGCGCGCTACTGCTTGAGCCACATCCCCAGCCCAACTCTTATTACCAACTCAGCACTTTTATTTGGATTTTTAAAAATTTCCAAATGCTCACCATCTCTAGCAGTCAGAGAAATGCAAATTAAAACCACCCTAAGATACCATCTCACTCCAGTAAGAGTGGCAGCCATTATGAAGTCAAACAACAACAAGTGCTGGCGAGGATGTGGAGAAAAGGGTACACTTGTACACTGCTGGTGGGACTTTAAATTGGTGAGGCCAATTTGGAAAGCAGTATGGAGGTTCCTGGGAAAGCTGGTAATGGATCCACCATTTGACCCAGCTATGGCCCTTCTCGGACTATTCCCTGAGGATCTTAAAAGAGTGTACTATAGAGATACTGCCACATCAGTGATCATAGCAGCACAATTCACAATAGCTAGACTGTGGAACCAACCTAGATGCCCTTCAATAGATGAATGGATAAAAAAATGTGGCATCTATACACCATGGAGTATTATGCAGCACTAAAAAATGACAAAATCATAGAATTTGCAGGGAAATGGATGGCATTAGAACAGATTATGCTAATCAAAGCTAGCCAATCCTTAAAAAACAAATGCCAAATGTCTTCTTTGATATAAAGAGAGCAACTAAGAACAGAACAGGGAGGAAGAGCATGAGGAAAAGATTAACATTAAACAGAGACGAGTGTGGGGAGAGAAAGGGAGAGGGAAGGGAAAGCATATGGAAATGGTAGGAGACCCTCAATGTAACACAAAATTACATATAAGAGGTTGTGAGGGGAAAGGGGGGTGGAAACAAGGGAGAGAATTGAACAACAGCAGATGAGGTAGAGAGAGAACATGGGAGGGGAGGGGAGGGGGGATAGTAGGGGATAGGAAAGGTATCAGAATACAACAGTCACTAATATGCCATTATGTAAAAATGTGAGTGTGTAACCGATGTGATTCTGCAATTTGTATTTGGGGTAAAAACGGGAGTTCATAACCCACTTGAATCATATGTATGAAAGATGATATGTCATGAGCTTTGTAATGTTTTGAACAACCAATAAAAAAAGAAAAAAAATCTAAATAAAAAAATAAAAAAGAAATCAGTTGTATTTTTGCACACTAACATTGAAAAAAATAAAAAATGAAATTAAAAAAAAAATAAAAAAATAAAAAATTTCCAAATGGAAGCCTGAAACTTAAATTATAACTCATCCCAAACCTGCTCCTAGTCCAGTGTCACTGTGACAGAAAGTTGTCCAACCATTTGAGCAACCAGAAGCCAAGGTTTTATCTTCCTTCCGCTTTATTCTGCTATATCCAATAAACCACCAATCCTGTAGGGAGTACCACATAAATACATCTGGGCTCTATCTCCTCATCCCTGTCTACCACTGCCCAATTCTAGTTTAAAGCTTTCATCTTCTTACCTGAAATAATGTATTGTTTCTGAAACTGCTTCTTCACTTTCTACAGTCCATTCTTATGTCCTCAATTCATTTGTTTTCCACATTGTAATGCTGTATTAGGACTGTATCCAATACCTCTCCTGTTTATAGCTTTTCAGTGGTATCCTAGAGTTTGAGAATAATGGTCATAATTCCTCAGGTGACTTGGAAGGTCCTTTATGTCTCGGACCTGTATTCTCTGCTGGCTCACAGTATGTTACTCAATTGCATTTTCTTCTCTGAATTCCAGGTCTTCCCTTGCCCCTCAGATGGGCTCTCTAATTCACATTTGACAGCATTCACTTGGGATCTCAGGCTGGACACTCATCTTCTTGCTTGGATAATTCTTTCTCATTTTTCAGGGTTTAATTGAAATATCACTTCTTTAAAGAAATATCCTCTGAATGCCCAGAGATTGAGCTGACATATTTGGGAAAGAATTTCCAAGAGATGTATATAAGAGGTATGTAAAATGAATCTTAAATAATTCATGAGTGACACAGATATATTATTATCTAGTTAAAATTTCCTTTGGAAGAATTGACAATTTTTATTCTCTGTTTGTAACGAAAACTGTTTTCATTCAAACAAAATAGGTTCCTTTATCTGCCTGTCTTGGAACTCAGATTTTTAAGCAGATGTGTCTTCAATTTTGACAACCATACCCAAGGAATGTTCTGTTCTTCCTTAACCTGACCTACTCCTTAGATTATTATGGTAGTTATACTAAATTTTTTTAATAATTTTTTGGTGGTTTCAAAACTTTAACATTTGAGGGTTTAAAATTTATTTTTGAAAATTTTATACAGCTATAAAAGAAGTCTTTAAATAAGGCACCAGTGGTCTGGTGATGAAATTAAAGTCTCATATCATTAATAACGATGATGGTAATGATATCTGACATTTTTTGAGCATGTATTTTGTGCTAATGCTTTCTAAATATGTGCATGGTTATGTGTTTTATTTATTTCTCAACTTATACTGTCAGTTCCAAAATATCATTACCACCACTGAGCAAATGAGAAAAGTGAAGCACAAAAGATTGAGTCAATTTATGTAAGGTTTGAGAGTTTGTGTTCACAGATTTAACTTAAACAGAGTGTGAAGGGAGGCACAAGGGTGAATTTCTCTTCCACATTAACATCACATCTAGAGTATTCTGAATTTTGACCTGGAATAGTATAGACTCAGCTTAAATTGTTTTGACTACAAAGAGTTAAAAACATTTTAAATTTGTTAACAATATTTTCAAGTATTTCTTACAGTAGACTCAAAAATGGGGTTATAAGGCTGTGTGAAAAATTTCATTATCATGAGATAAAGGAGAATAAGTTATGCTTTTTCATATTGAAAATGTAATAAAAATAGAAACTCTTCCAAGATCCATTTTTAATGTTAGATTTGGCAATTTTAAAATAATTTCTAGTAATTTTAATGTACTTTTTAACCATCATAATCTAGAAGTTGGAATATTTCTTTGTTTGTAAACAAAATATTTAGTGCCAGACAGAAAATACTTTTACTCTGCATTATGAAGCCATGTATAAAATAATTCAAAGTCATAGAATTTGACTTTGAAGCCAAAGCAAGCAAACATGCAGTTTAGCAGCATTTGTGGCAAAATCAAGAGGACATTGTTATCAGTCTCCAATTTAAGGAAGACTCTGCAGCATTATAGAAAATATGTGAAGTTGGCAGACTGATGTTTCCTCAAATATTTTCACATTTTAATCTCTGGAAACTGAATATGTTAAGTAATATGATTAAAGGAATTTAAGCTTGCAAATGAAATGAAATTTCCTAATAAAGTGGTCTTTCAATAATTTTTTTGGTGGACCTGTGAAGTCCCACACAGGCAGAATCTATCAGGGTGATGTGATGTGAGAGGGATTGAATCCATTTGTACTTGCTTTGAGGAGAGAAGAAGAGAGCCTGGAGCCAAAGAATGTGAACAGCCTGTGGAAGCTGGAAAGAGATAGGAAACAGGATCTCCCTTGGAGCCTGCAGAAAGGAATGCAGCCCTTACAACCTCTTGATTTTAACACAGTTACACTCATGTTGGAGTGCTCACTTATAGAAGTATAAAATAACAAATCTGTTTTTTTTTTGTTTTAAGCTACAAAGACTGTGATAATTTGTTGCAGCAGATAAAAAAATGAATACAATGTGCAAATGAGAGGCTACTTCCTAAATCCATTGGAAAAGCAGGGAGCAGACCAAGAATGGACATACATACATATATAGCCCTCTAGTCCTTGGAAAATTCAGTTAAGTTCAACCAGGGATATTTAAAAGGTGTTATTTGTAATGACAACTCCTCAGTGCACTGAATGCTTATATCCTTCTATTCGGTTCAACTTGCAAGAGATCATTTTTTTTTTTATTGAGGGTTAATTATTTGTGTGGCCTCAAAGAGAAAATACACTCAAAGTTAGGCACCTCTCAAAAGAAGGGCAGCCCCTGGCAGCTGCTTCTATTTCCTAAATCTACAAAGGTGTAAATATAATCAAAATAGTCCTAGTGTTCAAA